GTTCTAGGATAATTGTTATTGAATTTATATTATGTGATTATAAATTCCTACAATCAATGGTTGCTTTTGCTCGCGTGTGATATATACAATAATAGAAAATTATCTCTTTTTTCCTATTCAAATTTAATTTAAATTAAAAATGGCGTTTATAACTTCCAAACATAAATATAAATGCCCCGTACAATACACGAGAAACCTATATAAATAATATGAATGACGTTTTTATCTCATCTCACATTATTAAAAGTATAATAAAATATTATTTATTCACATAAATATAATAAAATAATATATAAATCATTATATATTATTCAATATTTACTTATAAAAATTCGCAGTACCTGTGCGATGCACGAACTAGTAATATTAAGGGAAACATTTTGACTTGGATGATTGGATCATTGCTCAAAATATAAAACGCATTTATTGATATTAAAATAAAAAAATATTTATATATTATTAAATTCTCATTGTGCACAACATTCTTTGTTCGAGTTAGGGTACATCGTCATGTCCACAAATTAAAAATCTTCAAATTTTTACGATGCGTAACGCGTGAAACAACTACATACAATTAACAGTGATTGAACCCCGATTTCTTCAAAAACATGTCAACATGCAATATCCTTCTCCCTTTGTTTTTTGACATTTGACATTGTACCCCCATTCCTTTTTTTTTTTTTTGTTCGTTTAGCATTTCATACGGTATCTCTTATTAGAATATAGCAGATTTTTTTAATTTAAATTGACAGTATATATCACAATAGTGTGTTGAAATGATTTGTAAAAATTATTTGTATCCCAATGTAAAAATTATTTGTATCTATTGGGATTAGTATTTAAAGCATGTGCTATATTTATATTTAGCAATTGTTAGTATAAAAAACTCTATTAAGATATAATAAATTTAGTAGTAAATAAATCGGTAGGTTAAATGAATGAAAGTCATAATATGATTTGTTTTGAAAGAAACAACTCTCATAACCGGTTAGTATAAAAAAAGTATGTTAAGATATTAATGATGTTCGTCCCTTTTCTGTATTTTTTTTTTTATATTGATATTGTATCTCTTAATAACATATTACATTTTTTTTTAATTTATATCGGTAGTATTTTTCAGGCAATTAGTGTGTTGGGTGACTTGTAAAGATTGACTTGTATGTATCTGGATTAGTATAAATAAATCTGTTAAGATATAATAATTTTGGTAGTAAACTAGTCGATAGTTTAAGTAAAAGAAATAATATGATTCATTTCGTAAAAAACAGCATTAATAACCAATTAGTATAAAGAAAATTGAAAAGAAATAATATGATTCATTTCGTAAAAAACAGCATTAATAACCAATTAGTATAAAGAAAATTGTTATGTTACAAGAGATGTTTGTCTTTCGTTTTTGTTGTTTTTTTTTTTTTTTTTTTTTTTT